AGCAGTAACCGTCCTCCGTCCCGCTGCTGGGAACCTGGCGCCCCCGCCCCTCGGGACTGGGTTCCCTGTGGCCCCGCGGGCGGACCGGGACGGAGGAAGCCGGGGTCCTCCCCGGAGAGCCGGGGCTTTTCACTCAGAAGGGCTGTTCGCGTCCGACGAGTCCCGGCGTCTGCTCATTAGAGAAGCCACTGCCGGTAACTGCGGCCCCCGGGATCCCAGGCTCTCGCGGGGCTCAGTAATAACAGGAAAGGTGAATAATTGGCAAAAAAGCGTGCGTGCTCCTGTGAGAAAGGAGCCCCCGAAGTCATTCCGTTGCAGTGGTTCATGAGAAAACGACACCAAGCAGCGCTGGCCTGGAGAGGTTACGGGTTCAAAACACAGGAGTGTTGTGCAAACCTGAAGGAGGGCTGAGAACCTGGCTGAGGCCGCACCGGTCAGAGTAAAGTGCTGCTGGTGTCGTGAAGGATGTGTGACCATCGCTCCTCACAGTAAGGGCCAAAGACTTGCCAAGCAGAGCACGCGGTGTGAAGTACACAGCACCTTTGTATAGCGCAGTTTGACCCGAGTATGTGGCGTTTAGAGCAGCTTATACCGTGCTAGAGTTCAGACTTGCAGGAAGAACTGAAAAAAAAAACCTTTTCAGCAGCATTGGGTACTATTCGGTTTCACGGCCATTCAACATCCTTTGTGTTAAGGAGAATTGGTTGGCTGCATCTTGTAAAACTGGTTAGAAAGTTAAAGCGTATTAAGCGCGGTCATTCAATTGGAATATTTTTCTCTCATCTGACCTACAAATACGGAAAGGAAAGGCAAGTCCCCTTACTCCTGAACTCCCTCTCCTGTTGATTTGTTGGTTGTGGGAGTTTCATCAGCGAGGGTGGTGCTCTGCCTGAACAGCTTCAGGCAGGCAAGAGGCAGCCTTGTGAGAGGTTGATCAAATTCTAACCGTCTAAGTTGACTTTGTAGATTCATGATGGATAGCAAGAGATGACAATCACTCATTTTGAACCTGATCAGTGAAGTTAAGCCGAATAGTCCTCATTGCTGGCCACATTCAAATTATGAGGAACAAATTTTTGTTTATTAAGGTGTTTGATAAATCCATTGTACATTTATTTTGTTCTCTCTTCATCCTTTCGGTAGTGCTAAGAAAACAGTAAACATTAATCTTAGAATCACAAAAATCATACTATATTGTGGTACTGAAACAGTGAAAAGGAGAAAGTCCACAGTGTAGAGTTTTTAGAAGGAAAATGCCAGACATCCGTGGGCTTAACAAGGCGAGAATATTGCAAAGGGTCATTGCATGAAAAGAGAAGAAACTAGGTGGGAAGACGTTATGGAAAGATCCCAGGCGTAGCAGATAAGTAAACTCCTAGTAAGGACTCATGGAGGAAGTGAGAGATATGGGCACCTTGACCTGAGGGGAGACGGGAGTTTTCCCACAGGGGCCATTCTCCGGAAGCTTGTGTTCGCTGGCTGTGTGGTGATGAGTGACAAAAAGTCGGACCTGGGGGAGGAGAGGAGCTTAAGTTCGATTAAAACGCATTTTGTTCTAGCTGGCCCTTGGGACAGGCTGTTCAGGGAGTCATTTATGAATTCACAAATGAAGCAAAACTGCAATTAGCATTTTTGTCTCCTGCTGAGAGGTAAACATCCTATTGGATGACGTGCTTGAGGATTTCTTTACTTATAACCATTAAAGAACCAGCAGCTGAGGGCTCAGGTAGACTATAACTTATCAAAAACATCTGTACACAAATATCTTAAACTCACCAACCCATTCAGGAGTTAGCGTTCATAAATCTGTACCACTAGGTGTAGTTTCAAAAGCATTTAAGTCTTGAGTTTCATATACATGGTGGTGAAATCTTCCTAATTTGCCCAGGACAATCTAGATCAATGACATCCAAGTTAAGAGATTAAAGGGTATTTTGTTTGTTATCTGTTATCTCATAGGAAATGATTTTCCCCTTTTCATTGAAGATTCTAGATATACTGACCCAAATGATTGGCTGAAGCGAATTGATCTTTTCCTATTTTAAAAGATAATTTTCCATAAAAGGAAAGGGAGTTAAATCATGATTGTCACACAGATACAAACGAGCACATGGTGAAGATTCTTATGTAACTAATCGGGTAACTGGTAAGATGTTAGGTATCAGTTTAAAAACGGAAAGCACATGCATATTAGATCATTGAATTATCTGCAGGATGCGTCTCCAACTGTCACACACCCATGAATGACCTGAGAATCGCTTTGAAAATAATGTGGGTTCCAATTCAGTAGGTTTAGGGCTGGTACTGAGACTATTTCACTACTCCAGGTCCCAGTTCATGGCCAGCACAGGATCAGAGACAATAAATGATGCCTTTCTGACTGGTAATTAAGGGGCAGGAAGTTCGTCATCCTGGAAGAACAGAGCCCTGTGCCACAGGTGAAGGGAGCAAATCTCAGTTGAAGAAAATAAATGTGAATTGTAGGCTGCATTGCCAGATCACAAACCAAAATGAGCAAAGAAGCAGTTGCTAGGAAAACAATCCAAAGCAGAATTTAAACTTAGAGGGGGAGGAAAGAAAGAAGTAGAAATGAGGACTTTGCACAGGATAACAGAGGAGGGGTGAACAGAGTGTAGTTTTTAGGGGGCAGACGGTGACCACTTCAAAGAGATCAGTGCTTGTGGTTTGTGCCTTGTGAGCTACCCTGGCTGTATCAGCAGTACCTGAGCAGACTGCCTAATCCTGGATCAGAAAGCTAACCTAAATTAAGACTTAAAGTAAAACTCTCTGCACAGATGTCTGCACTTGCACCCTGATCATTTACTCGTGGTGGTACTGGTATGCTGATGAATTTTAATTCATGTGCAACTTATTATTCCAATAGACAGTGTATCTTCTATCAGATAGAACATTTTAGTTTTAAACTTAATAGTTTCTGTAATTTGTTCAGAGGGAACTTAGTTTTCCTTGTCCAAAAGGTAAGAGCAAGTCAGCACCAAAGAAAGCTGTAGTTACTAGAAGATGCAGAAAGTAGTGTCAGATTTAGCAAATAAAAATATAGACTGCCCAATTAAATTGAATTGCAGACAAGTTACTGTTTAGCAATACTTGGGACATAATTAAAATGAGTTACTTGTGTATTATCAGAAATTCAAACTTAGCTGAATATTCAGTATGCAGCAGTAACTGTAGATAATTCCACCCCAATAATGACTTCTGAGAGATAGCTGATTGGGAAAATAGTGCATTTACAGTAATTGTACAGGTAGTTTAATTCCTACAAGTCTTCAAAAATTATAGTAGTACCCCATCAAAAAATAGGATGGGGGCTCCAGCTTAAGGGTAGAGTGCTTGCCTAGTACTCACAAGACCCTAGGTTTAATTCTCTACACCTCAAAAAGAAATATAATAGTTAACAATACTCTTGAGGGCTTGGGTTTGCAAAATAAATTTACTAAATTACAAAATATTTTTCCTATCAAATGTAGACAGGGCAGCCCAAGTTTGAACACTAAGTAATCTGTTTTTGAATAAAAATCACGTTAGTTAGTGGTCACAAACTGCGATAGTTACCTACAAATAGAATCTGTGGCATTAACAAGACACCAACCTTGAAAGTGGCCTGTATGTCTTTCTATAGGCGAATGGTTAAAGAAAATGCAGTATTTGTAATCCGATGGAGTACTACTCTGTAATGAAGGATAAATTTGAATCATTTCTATGAAAATGGATGAACCTTGAGACTTTACTGTTAAGTGAAATAGAAACACAAGTTTAAATATCAGTTTCTCTTCTATGAGAAACCCATAGTATAAGTAATTTGAAGAGCAAAACACAAATAATAGGAAACAGGAAGAGAAATCTTGCAAGTGGGAAAGGGACCAGGAAAGAGATGGTAGGAGGGGGATGTAGAGGCAGGAAAGGGAAAGTAAAAAGGATTAAGATGTGTTATGTGCCTGTACCTTCGTGTGCATGTACCCCACAAGGAAGGTATTCTGTACTGCAAACATACTAGTAGGAACTTTTAAAATAAGATGCTAACCATTAGCAGTTTCCATAATAAGCTCCAGGATGGTTGATCTTTCCTTTATATTGACTATTAAGAAAGGTTATGGGCCAGGCATGGACCACCACGCCTGTAATCCCAGCACTCGGGAGGCTGAGGCTGGAGGATCACTGAGTTTGAGACCAGCTTGGGCTACATGGTGAGTTCCAGGTCAGTCTCAACTACATATAGTCAGACCCTGTCTCAAAAAACAACCAACCAAAAAAATTCACAAGAAAGGTTAGGGTTTGTATCATTTGATTTGTATCATTTTTGCTAAGATATGTTGCCATATAGTTTGCCCTTCTGTAACTTATCTTTGTTTTCTCATTTCCATGCCTTAGTTTATCTTAACTCAGTTGTTCTCTGTAAAGAAAAGATGTAATAGTAGAAGCCATTTTATGAGATTGGGTCATTTGTTAAAGTTTTAAATGACTAAAATAGAATTAAAAGATATATGCACAGTTTCACCTGACTTTATAATTTTTCAGATAAAATATTCAATAACATTTTAACACTTTAATTTGAGGGTTTGTTTAGCTTTCTAAATTGAATATTTTGACTTAAAACTTCAAAGTGTATTTATTTAGCAGGTTTTGTTACAGGAGTCCAGAGTCTTGTCTTTGTAATGGTTTTATTGATTGCTGTGTCTCTCTGTAAAAACCATACACATCAGAAAGTATCCAAGGTGTGTGTGTTTGTGTGTGTATGTGTGTGTGTTTTAATGGAACAAATCTTACATTTACAAAATTAAGAATACTAGATTTCACATTCCCCTTTAACCACCCAGATTTCAATGGTTCACATCATTTTTCATGATAGTTTTCATACCTTGTGTGTGTTGTGCCTTCTCTTTTTTAAAATTACCATGAGAAGTTTCAGACAGGGTGTGTGCAAAACAGTGGGCACTTTGTGTATCTGTCACCCAACCCATTTTCTATAAATCTTCATGGGAAAGGCTTTTCTCCTTAGACCTAAAGCCACATCCCTGTGGATATTATGTTGTGAAATATTTGAGCATGTATTCATATTCCATCCGTAAATCTTATAGACTGTTTTGTGTGTTTATACATTAGGTGTATCTTTATCTTTTGGTAGTTTTTTTTCCACTAATAATTGACTTTAAGATTAACCTGTGTTGATTCCTGTAATTTATTCATGTCAGTTGTTATGTAGGCGTCCCTTATATGGGTTTCTCAGCCTGTTGTACAGTTAGGGTCTCTGTCCTTTTCACCAGCTGAGAGTCCCCGTGTATCACTGTAGTCATCTTGGAGAAACATTTTTCTTCAGCACAGACACCCAGAAGTGCAAGATCCAGGCTGTGTGCACTAATTCAGCTCTGCTAGAAAGGGCTAGAACCAGCCTAAAGCAGTTTCAGCACCTTCCATCCCAGGTATTATGAGGAGAATGGTAAGAATTCCACAACTTAGCCAGCACAGGGATATCAGAAATTGTGATGTAGCAATTGAGAAATAGTATTTAATTTGCATTTCTGAGAAGTATAAAGTCTATTCTGTATATCTATTTATTGGCTTTGTCGTCTTTCTCTGTAAATTTTGTGTTGGAAATTATTTAGTTTTCTATTATTTTTTATAGTTTTCTATTATTGTCATCTCTAATCAACTTTTAGAAACCAAGAGTTTTTCAAATATTTGGCAACATGATCTAATAGTGCCTTTTAGGTGTGTTTTCCCTCCTTTAATTTCACACCATTGTGGACCATTGGCACATAATCAAATATGTCAGGCTTTTCCTTTGACATATGCTTTCTTGTTTGAAAAAATTTCCTAACTACTGTGTCAGTAATCTTCTGTCCTCATGTAAACAATTTTATAGTTCTCTTCAGATATAGTTTTTTAGGTCATCTGTAGTTGATTTTTATTTGTGTAGAAGAAACCTAATTCTTTTTCCATAGAATGAGCTGATGAAAATCCTTTCCAGTTAATATCCAGTGACTACAGTGTCATGTGTCATACCCAACTCCTCATCTATTCATTGATCCATTTGTGTATACTATCACATTATAACTTAACAGTCAGTAGCTTTATTTTCCTACAAGATTTTCTGTAATCTTTACTCTTTCATATAGACTTCCTAACGTCCAGTGGTGCGGTGGGTAGAATATTTGATGGAATTTTGATTGAGATAGGGTTGAATAGATGAATTCCTGGACAATTAACATATTTACTATAGTCGGTCTTCCCACAATGCCTAGCTTCATTTATTTATGGTCTATTTTGTCTTTCATACTTTCCTCCATGAATGTCTTGCATACCTTTTGTAAGATACATTATACAAGGTCTGAGTTTTAGTTTCCAGCATCCCTGCTAAATTCTCTTAGGTAGTTGTAGTCTGTTGAACCTCTTGTTGCTCTCATGTATTTATATCATCTTCATATATTTCTTCTATTTCAAACCTATGCCTTTTAAGGTAATCTTAAATAAAAGCTGTAATAAGTGTTCTGGTATAGTTTTGATTTTACAAAGAGTACTTCTAATATTTGATGAATGAATGTAATATTGTTTAGCCAGGCATGGCAGTGCATGGAGACTGAGGCTGGGTGATCTCAGATTCCAGCCAACTTAGTAAGACCTAGTTTTAAAAAATAAAAAGGGCTGGGGATGTAGCTTAGTGATAGAGCACCCCGGTTCCACCCTCAACACCACGAATAAATAAATTTTGTTAATTGTAGAGTTTTGTTAAAAACTTTATATTCCTTTTCTGAAAATTTTCTTCTTAAGCAAATGTTAAGTTTTATCAAATGCTTTTTTTTGTTTTCCAGATAAAGGTGTTTACAGCACACATCGACCTTTAACACTTTCCCTCGCTTGATCAGCACGTGACGCACTAAGGTGAGACCTCCAGGCAGAAGAGCACAGGGAGAATTTACTTGTCTCCAGAATGATGGATCCGTGCTCAGTTGGGGTACAGCTCCGCACCACTAATGAGTGCCACAAAACCTACTACACTCGGCACACGGGCTTCAAGACTCTGCAGGAGTTGTCATCCAATGATATGCTTTTACTTCAGCTCCGCACTGGGATGACGCTGTCTGGGAACAATACCATTTGCTTCCATCATGTGAAAATTTACATTGACAGGTTTGAGGATTTGCAGAAGTCATGCTGTGACCCATTTAACATCCACAAAAAGCTAGCCAAAAAGAATCTGCATGTCATTGATTTGGATGATGCCACTTTTCTGAGTGCGAAATTTGGGAGGCAGCTGGTACCTGGTTGGAAGCTTTGTCCAAAGTGTACACAGATCATCAATGGAAGTGTGGATGTGGATTCTGAGGACCGCCAGAGAAGAAAACCTGAATCCGATGTATGTGTGGTACTCATTTTTTCTACCAGATGACTCCTGCAGTGTGGAAGTTACCTACTTTTGCCTCCCCACGTAACAAATGCTTAAGCACAAAATTTTGTTTTACTAAAACCTTTTAAAAAGTATTTTAATACAATTTCAGAATTTGAAACCTTTTTCTTTCTCCTCTCTGAAAGTGTCCAGAATTGTTCCCACAATCCTGGGCAATGCAGCCTTAGGCTTATAATTTCTCTGCCTCTCTCCCTCAGGGACAGCAGCTGGGACAGGTTACGACATACTAGTTCTCTGCTGCTCCTCCTGGGCCATGGACTAAGATGCAAATGATGAAATGCTTTCAATAAATTAACCTGTATATTTGGAATGTAGTCCAAAGTGATGTAAATTTTCCTGCACTTGGGCTCTGAAATCTTTTTTAAGAGAGTGAGAGTGTCTTCCCCCCAGCTAAGCAATAATCTGGGTTAACAGTAATGTTTACTTATTGTCTAATACCAAGGTTTGAATTACCCATTTGCTTACCTTTCTGCAGGGAAGAACTGCTAAAGCTTTGCGGTCTCTCCAGTTTACAAACCCGGGAAAGCAAACCGAATTTGCTCCAGAAACTGGTAAAAGGGAAAAGAGAAGGCTCACGAAAAACGCTCCCGGTGGTTCAGACAGGTTGGTGTGTGCTGACTGGCCCTTCATAGCCACCTTGTCCTTTATTTGTCTTTAAGCTTTGAGTTTTCCGTGTACACATTTTAACCTGGATAATAGAGAATTAGTAAAAAACCTCCAATGGCCTGTCTTGGTTTTATTCCTATAAAATTAAAGCATCTATTTTAATTCAAGGTTTGTTTATAAGGAGGTAGCAATAAAGTGGGCAATATGTAACAAAACATATACCTGAGAATTAAGATAGTGCATCACCACTGATTGTCAAGATGAGCACTATCGGTAGGCATCTGGTGCCAACAGGTGATTGCAGTATAGAAACTCAAGATTGGCTTTTATTTTTGCATATGGGAAGCAAGCAGTTCTGTTACTATCAGCAGAAATGAATGAAAGAACTAAATTGTTTAAAATACGACTATAAGTTGAACATTTCTAAAATATAAATTGCAAACAAATGGTAGTAGTATAACATTCAGAATTATTTTGAAGTGCAGGTTGCATTTGTCTACATAACATTTATTCCATCTGTTAAAATTTTCCATAAAGTGACATATATATTTTAGGCCAGATTTACTAGAGGCCTGTAGAGTAAGAAATAAGTTAATTACGTTATAAAAATGTGTAAGATGATACACTGTGATCAATATAAAAACCTTAATGTCCACAGAGCAGCGATGAGGTTGATAGCCAGTAAAATGAGCTACTATTAACTATTCTTTTTGTTTATAGTAAAGGAAAAATCATTTTAACAGAAATTTTAACAGCTTATTCTGGGGGAAAGTTCTCACCCAGTTTTTGTTGAGTTGACACTTGAGAGAGGCAGTCAGGCTGTTTGGATTTCTCTCCACTCGTGCAGTTAGGTCACCCCTTCATGTGAAGTGCGTTCATCAGCTGTGCAGGAGGCCGTGTGCCTGGAAGACTATGTACTCCGTAGTGGGCGAGCATCCTAGTCCAAGTGTTACCTCCTCCAGTGTTTTTCATTGACCTTCATTTCAGTGTGTGCTGAGGTGATACGGATTGCGGTTCTCTTACAGACAAGTCATACCAGCCAAGAGCAAGGTCTACGACAGCCAGGGTCTGCTCATCTTCAGCGGGATGGACCTCTGCGACTGCCTGGATGAGGACTGCCTGGGATGTTTCTACGCTTGCCCTGCCTGCGGGTCTACCAAGTGTGGAGCCGAGTGCCGCTGCGATCGGAAGTGGCTCTACGAGCAAATTGAAATCGAAGGAGGAGAAATCATTCATAATAAACATGCTGGATAACTCATGCTACCGACTATCGGGTTTTTAAAGGTCCTCTGTTTCCAAAATTCTGTTGCTCTTAAGATACACTTTAAGCTTGATAGTTGAATAATAAAGGTTTGAAATCCACCTCAGTGTTACTCAAGGTTTGTTTATAAGAAGGTAGCAGTAAAGTGGGCAATATGTAACAGAAACGTACACCTGAGGATGAAGGTAATGCACATGTTGACAGTCAGTGGTGATGCATTATCACTGTATTTTGGCTGTTCTAAGATTCATTTGATATAAATTTAGGTGGGTGGTTTCTCCTATGTAGTCAGTGTAAACTAGGAGGGAGCAGGTAGACCTCACCTTGCACCGTCCCCAGGGCACAAGGTTCAGTGACCATGTTTAGCTAGATAACACCAGCCTCCTGACAGCAAGATTTCGATTTCAGGTACCACAGCATGTTGTCAGGTGTTAGCTGCATGAAGTTCTGGTTTACAGGTCCACAGGTCACCTCAATCGAGAACACGTTTGCTTTACCGTAATGGACCAATTGTATTAGATAGTGTCAAATTCAGTGACTGGTCCCTGTGTCTGTTACTTTAGTTCACTCACAGCAAAGCATTCATGAAGTTGTGTTGGCTCTTTGTGACCTATGTGATGTTTTACAAAAGTGAATACGCGAAAGAATTGGCCAACAAAGAGGGAAGTGAAGTTTGAATGAGTTGTAAAGGGTTGTAGAAAAAATCGCCAATCACAGAAGCACTGGTGACTTACTTTTCCTGAGTTTACAGATACACATCCAGAGGAGTTTCGTGAAGGGAAACTCCTGAAATAAATGCGGAGTAGTTGTGCTGGAGATGGCTTTGTCTCAGAAATTGTCACAAAGAGCTTTGCAGTGAGAGCACTTCCTGTGAAAGCAGAAAAACAGCACACAGCACTGACAGCACAAACAATAAAATGGTGGGAGCAGATCCGAACTTCAAAGGAGTAGAACAGGCTACTGTGCTGCAGGAAAGATGCCTACTGAGCTTCGCGAGTTACCAGAGTACACGGCCCTGGGGAGCACAGAAAGTTAAGACTCTCAAAATAGGAAAAAAAAAAATGCTGGAGCTGTAACTCAGTATAATCCCCAGTGCTAACAGCAAAACACTGCAATTCTCAACATTTAACTTCCATTTTTTTTCTACATTTATAATTAATGAATTTTTAATACTTTGAAAGATTGTTAAATGGTACAGGGCGATCCTAATTTTCCTCATTGATTTTCACGGCCATTTAATGGTCCCACACTGCCATACGAATGAGGTCTCCAAGTAGCCGAGAAGAAATTTTCAGGGAAAATTGATTTGCATACAGCTGACTGGTTGCGTGTTAAACTATTTTGGAAATATGTGCCCAAGCGCTAAAATAGATTGTCTTCTTTTGACTTCAAATAAAATGTTTTAGTACTTTAAGCCTTTCGTTGTTTATATATGCATTATTTGTGAAAATTTATTACAAAAAAATATAATGCACAGATAAGTACCTAAACACATTTTATCTGTGATACTAACACGGTATGGGGGATTAACTAGATTAAGAAGTCTCAAAATGTTCCCTAAGGGGTGATAATGAGAAGGTGGTGGAGAAACACTGGTTAAGGTAGAAATGGGTAAACGTGGAAATGGACCTTGGTGAAGGGGCAAAGCCCTCCCACCGTGCTTCCTGTTATCAAGTCCTCTTCCTGCTGTGCCATTCGATCCAAAAACTCATCGCCTTGTGTCGCGAGCCGGCGCTGCAGAGCACTGTCCAGCAGTGTCTCAAACCTGAAAGAGCAGCGGGGTGGAGATGGGGCAGAGAGAAAGGAAGGACGCCAAGACGAGTCTGATCAAGGCGACGTTTATTGCAGACAGGCATCAGCCTTTAAAAGGAAAAGGCCGAACTATTATGGGCTAGGATTACCATAGTAACCTCAACACACGCTCCACGGGAACGAGGGTTCACACGGGAAAGAGAAAGCAGGCTCAAGAAAAACAAATTAACAACACTTGCAACTAATAATCATGATTCCCAAATAGGTGGAGGAACTTAACAAAATGGAGTTACAACACCTGACTCCTACAGATAACGTCAGATCTTTAACAGGAAGCATTTGACTCCTACAGATCTTTTGCTGTCCGAGTTTCTCCCGTGCAGGGTCAAAAACAAGTTTAACACATGCAGTCCTTAAAAAGGAACAAATGTTATCTTTCAAAAAGCCAGTGGGCCATGGCTGGCGTCCCACAACCTTGGACATTGTAAGCTTTGGTTTTCTCTAAAATAGTACCTTAGTTGATCACCGGGACTTTTAGCAGTTTTATAGTCATTGAATCAGCTTTGTATTTTCAGTATTGGGGATTTATGGCGAGCCATTATGGTGAGCCTTGACACAGGCCTAGCCATGATTGAATTTTGAGTCACCTCGCTGCCATGGATGTGCTCTCGCCCATAGCCACGGGCGAGTTCAGCTGGTAGCAGATGTAACCCATAATGGTTGTTATTGTTTCCCTCTGGAATGTGTGGGGCGGTACTCTCGCTCCCGTGCAGCCCTCGCTCCCATGCAGCCGGAGAGCATAAAAGGAAGAGGTTCTGTAATAAAAAAGAAAAGCAACCAAGCAAGGAACATGAGAAGAAAGGTGCCTCCCGTCTCTCTGTCCTCATCCTTTCAGGTTTAGGACCTGCTGGCAGGATCCTGACGTCGCGGCTCGCTACAAGTGGCGCCCGAACGGGGACCTGAAAGTAGATGAGGATATGTAATCCCGGACCCAGGTAGAAGGCAGCGACAGTGCTCCGGAGTAGAACCCCGGACCCAGGTCGAAGGTAGCGACGGTGCTCCGGAGGAAGGTAAAAAGAAAGTAAGAAAAAATAAAAAGGTAAAAAGAAAAAGTGAAAGTGATAGAAGGTAGAGAGTGTCAAGTCCATTAGGGAAGAAAAAAGAAAAAAAAAGAAAGAAAAAAAATGGGACAATCAGAATCCAGAAATTATCTAGCAAATTCAATTCAGAGCCTATTGAAGGCACAAGGAGTAACAGTTGAGAGGGTACGATTAGAGGCCTTTGTTAAGATTCTGGACACAATTTGTCCATGGCTATGTGATAAGGCAGAAATAAACGCTGAAGTATGGGAAACAGTTGGAAACCAGTTGAATGAAGCCCTTCTGGCCAAGCCTAATCGTTTTCCAGAAGGTGCTCCTTTTTATTGGGCTTTGTTAAACGCAGCTCTCAGGACTCCAACAAAAAAGGAAATCTTGGAAGCCTTAGACGAGGTGCATAAAGGGTTGAGGACCAAAGACAATCTTCCGGTGTTACTTCATGGGATGGCATGGGACGTCATTACAGACTCTGTTAATCCCTTAAAGATAAAGATTGTGAAGGCTCCTCGTAAGAGCTAATTCTTCCTGCTTTTCCATCTTATGTGCTTGCATCCACAAATAGAAGGTTAATAGTAAATGAGACAGAAAAATATTAGGAAAGCTATAAGTAAGAGTTATGCTTTTGCATCTTGTTAAAAACAGGTAAAGAAAGATATACAAGACTAGAAGGCCTAAGTATATAGAGAAGGTGTATGGAAATCATATAAAAAGGTTTACATTTACAGTCAAGAAGAGCTTTCATTCATTTAATCCTTATTCTACAAGAGATCTCTGTTAATTTTGATCTGCAAAAATTCTGACTAGTCATAACAAAAATTTTATAATTCAATTGGCCAAAACCATCTGAGTGCACTAGTTAAAATTGTCTTATATGTTTGTCTGTCTTAAATGTTCAAAGATGTTTGTATGTTTTTTATCAGAATGACGTCAAATGCAAGTAGATTGTTGATTTTTAAAAAGATATATCTTGTTAAATATATTGTTAAAAATGTTTAATTGGCTATTATCAAAGGTCTGAATTATAAATATGTTATTGTAATATGTTTCTGATGGTTATTTTCTGTTAAAAAAAAAAGGAAGATCCTATTGATACAAAGCCACATTACAGGATATAAGAATTCAAATAATTATAATAATTATTGCTACTTTTCTGGTATACAAAAAAGTATTCATATTGTTTGACCATGCAGGTTTTCCAGCATATTGTTTATGAGAATAACCTTTTGGTCCAAGTATTCTCCCTTCTTTTCTGCCCCACCTACTTATGGTTACAGGTATATTTATAGATCCACTACTATCCCTGAACAGCTTGAAGCTGGGTTTCCACTGAGGAGACCGGATTGGGACCCCAACATTGAAGCAGCAGAGAGAACTCCAGGATGTGTCTTGGTGCACAAGTGGAGACTTTATTGTCCAGAACAAGGATTCATTGGAACTGGTTTGGCTATATTTCAGCAACAAATGGACTTATTAAACAAAGAAGTTGAAGGATTATGGTTGCATACTCGATTGGACTGATTCCAGATTTCAACAGCTCTACTCTCTTTCCTGTCAAAAACCATTCTGAAGAAGTCCGACGACTTTCTTCATTGTTGCGAGGGTCTTGGAATCGGACATTTCTAAATGCAACTAATCAGTTGTCATTGGACATTGAGGTCTTGTCTGGTGTTCATGCCAATTCTATCCGGCTTGATTTAGATTTTGCTACAGAAGTTTGGGAAAATTTGAAAAAGATGTTTTCACCTTTTTGGATTGTTATATGGCTTATTGTTATTGCTATTATGATTGGTTTGTGTATTTTTGGTTACTGCTCATATCGATGCTGGAAGTGTTCTCAGTTTAAATACGAGCGTTTAGCCATGGCTGTACAGGCTTCTTTCAATGATGATACAACGTGCGTAGCCATTTACTTGACTCAGGCTCGGCGTGCTTAGATCCCCCGCCTTGGGATACTCAGTGACTGGTAAGGACGGAAGCTTCTGTCTACCAACCTAAGACAGGTCTTATTGGGACATAAGCCCTGCGACTGATGACGGGTAAGGAGATGGAAGACTTCTGCCGCCTAAGACAGAGGGCCATTGGCTGATTGCTAGCATTCTTCGTGCTATCAAAGAGAGATGGGGGAATTATGGCGAGCCATTATGGTGAGCCTTGACACAGGCCTAGCCATGATTGAACTTTGAGTCACCTCGCTGGCACGGATGTGCTCTCGCCCATAGCCACGGGCGAGTTCAGCTGGTAGCAGATGTAACCCATAATGGTTGTTATTGTTTCCCTCTGGAATGTGTGGGCGGTACTCTCGCTCCCGTGCAGCCCTCGCTCCCATGCAGCCCTCGCTCCCATGCAGCTGGAGAGTATAAAAGGAAGAGGTTCTGTAATAAAAAAAGAAAAGCAAGCAAGCAAGGAACAGGAGAAGAAAGGTGCCTCCCGTCTCTGTCCTCGTCCTTTCAGGTTTAGGAGCTGCTGGCAGGATCCTGACGTCGCGGCTCGCGACAGGGATTGAGCCCAGAACCGTCACTCTGAGTAATATCCCTAACCCTTTTTTAACTTTTTAAGACAGTCGAAGTCCCTATGTTGCTCAGGCTGGATTTGAACTTCTGATTGACCCCCTTGCCCCAGCCCCCCAGAGTGCTGGCGATGCAGGCGTGCCCTGTCCCGCCACACCCAGCTTATTGAGCCAGTAGAGGCAGTTTGGGTTGAACAGCAGAAATTCCTTTTTCTACTTTTGTTTTTGCGTCGTCTCTTTAAGCTCTGGTTTTACTATGATGGAATGGCACTTTTAACTTTGGGATTGGTAACGGGTTAGACCTAGTGTCCTGTGTTCTGAGGTGCGGATTTTGGAAACTCATTGGATCCCCCACGCATTACGTTTATCACTGAATGAGTCCGCGGTGAGTTAATACTGAGTGGACCACTAGGATGCGGGGTCTGGGCTGATCTAAAGAGGCAGGTCTCTGGGACATCACTGGGAGACTATTCTTGTCCCCAGCTCCTCTGTCCTCTCTGAGCTACCTGGCTGCCATGGGCCGAACACTTTTACATGCTGTTCTGCCTTGGAGTTAGCCAAGTACGGGCTGAAACCATGAGTAAAAATTTTTTCTTGAAGCTCTGGGTGCCAGGCATTTTAATCCCAGCAATGGGAGAGCAGGAATTTTTCATTAATCTTATCAGAAGATCAATTCCTTAATCATGTTTCAAATGAACACTGACTAAAAAGGGTATTTTAACTTTATGTACTTAAACAGATGTAGATTGCTTACTCTTTGCATAAATTAAGGAGCTATTTGTTTTTAAAGGGGTGCAAACCAATTTTATCTAAACTAGGATTATTAGATTTTAGTCTTTACTTTTAAGTATAAATTAGTACTGTATTTTGCTTAGGCTCTTCAGAGGAATAAATTAGCATGCTGGACTTTCTTGTGGTTAAAATAGGTATGTACCTCTGATAGAATAAATGACTTAACTACTGTATCTCAGCATTCCTTAGAGCAGATGTGTTGTTTTAAAGACAAAAATTTCATG